AGCCCGATTGAGAAGCAGAGGATATTATTGAAGAGGATCGTGCAGAACCTGTGCAAGCACGGCTTTTAATTGTAGGCCTATGTTTTTTGTTTGTTGTTGTCTCATACTTTTAGATACGCTGTTATTTGTAAATGCTACGGCTTATGTTAGCTTTTAATATACAGTTTTATATTAAAACTGTATTTAAAGTACGGCAACTGCACGTGCGTCCATGTTTAACGCTTCTCATAGCTATGTGAAAATAAGTGTATAATTGTAACAGTTCATTGTTGGAGCTGAGCTGAATGAGAGAGAGAGAGAGAGAGAGAGAGAGCGATGCAGAGCGTGTGCAGAGCAGGGGACTCGAGGAACAGTATTAAGAACCGCTGCTTTAGAACATTGATTTTGAAACTTGTGAATCCATTAAAATCGTTAGAAGACAGAATCGCAATTCATATATGAACAGATTTTTACGTGCACCTCTAGTTTTCTCTTCCTCTTCTCTAAAGCCGCGCAGCATGGCCTCGCCCCCTTTGCTGCCTTTTCCTGAGGGCAGGGTTTATCTGGGTTTGTTATGTCACGAACCCGGGAAGTAACTCGTTGTAGTCCCTTACCAGCCGTTTTTGTAGGCATTAATCTGCCAGAATTTTGCATTGATCTTTCAGCTTCGTAACTTTGCAGATATTGTTTATGCTCAAACAGCAACATTACAGACTAACTAACGTTAAAAAAGTGAAATCGCAATGAACCACCCCTTTAAATATTTATATTTCCAATTTTGAGTCTGAAAGCTAAATTGTATCCTCTTTGTTACATTGTTTAAATCAGGGGTGCCCAAACTCGGTCCTGCAGAGTTTAGCTCCAACTTGCCTCAACACACCTGCCTTTAAGTTTCTAGTATGCCTAGTAAGAGCTTGATTAGCTGGTTCAGGTGTGTTTACTTGGGGTTGGAGCTAAACTCTTCAGGACACCGGCCCTGGTTTAAGTGGTTTATCTGGATAAATAATAATTGTTCTTACTTTTGGGGTTGCATGAGTTGATTTCAAAGGTTCATTCATCACTGGTAAAGGCTGACTCGTTTTTTTCATAAATTGAGATCTAGAGTTTTAGATCAACAATGTCAGAAGTGAATGAGAAGATGAACATTTACATTATCAGTCAATCATCATAACACAATTGATTTTAGTTCATCAGTGTTCTCTGGAGAGATGTTGTAAATGGCTGTGGAGTAGCTATAAACTCACTCAGGACTGTTTGAAATCAGTGATCTTAGTGCCTCTTCTCAGTGTCTAGATTACATTGATTGTTTCACTGTAAGGTTTTCATGAGACTCTAAATGATGGAACTGGATCTTTTTGTAGATGTTTGTACATTAAAATAGACGTACCCTTATTTAAAATAATATGTTATATAGCTTGTTTGTAAACTAGAGTTTTAAATAGCTATTTAATGTTGATCTAGGAACAATTATGATAGAAGTTGTTTGTTATTCTTGGTGGCACTGATGGAAATGTACAGTATTTGTGTGTTATCTTTGCATAAACTAAAGCGAAAACATAATGGAGTCAGGCATTTCAAATTTCAGGTTCTAAAAAGTTGACATCCAGTGGGTAATTCTAGAATTAGAAATGAGTCGATTATAGAATTCCTCCATTTCTTGGAGCACAAGACTGCATTTAAACCTTGTATATTTGCAGTCTCTACCCCAAAGTACAAAAGGACAGAGTACAGTAACATCTAGTACAGGTCAGAAAGTTCTGACAAGCCGCAGTGTATGTAGGACAAAACTACTGGAGAAAAAAAAAACTGACATAGTCCATAATACATAGTAAAACCTCACTAATGTCCCTATATAAGCCTGTCCTCCCATTTTACACCAGTTTCAGTGATAAACCATCAGCACAACATGGACAGGTTTGAGGAAAAGCTAATTATCTACACCAGTTTGAATTTTTATATTTCTTGATGCAGTAATATCACTTTACAACTGACCTCTGCTACGCCTACCTCCAAATATTTGAACTGAGAGTCAGTACTGTTGCCTTGAGGGGAGGTCTGTTTAAATTGATATCAGATTGATTTGTGGCATGTTCTGATTTTGCATCAGCATGTACAGGCCGGTTTCTCTTCCCTCACTGCCTGAGTCTGAAGCATTAAGAGTCATTTAAAAAATGGCTTTTGTATTCTTTCTGTGAATTTCAAATATTTCAAAAAGAAAATATCTGTGCTTTGCTTTTCGTCCATGCCTTGTTTTGTTTAAGAATGCATATAAACTATTTTCTATTTGTGTGCTTTAAGTAATAAAACTTAATGCAACAATTCACTCACTTTGACTTTGGACTTTTTGTGCAATTATGGGACATAGCAGGTTGTTGAATAAAAGTCACAGAAGTTGGAAAAAATGAATATTGCCCTTTTTTTAAAACAAATGTTACAAATAATTAAAAGGATATTGCAAAAGATTAAAAATGATGATAGGAAAATACGTTTTGTTTTATTTAAAGCATTTTGGTTGGACAAAGGAAACATGAAGAAACACCTGAAATATTTACATTAGCTTACATTTCACTGCTGGTCATATATTCTCTATATAACCATGTATGTGACATAAAAATCTTTAATGAATCTTTTAAATAATTTGTTAGTTTCCTTGTTAGGTTAGAAGTTTAGAAGCACCAAGAGACATGGCAATGCACTCAAACCAAAGTAGCATTTGTTGTTTTATTATTTAACTCTATTTTTACCAATTTGTGCTATAAGAAGACCAAACTAAATAAAAAGCCTAATATTTTATCCAATAAATTAAAACATGTTGTAGAGTGATTAACGGTACTGCATTACAGCAAATCTCTTTCAAACAGCGGGTGGCGGTACTGAGCTGCAGGCGAATCTGTTCCTCGATCTGTTTACAGGGGAAGAAATAAATACACAGTGTGTGTCGGTGTCAGCCGTTCAAACAAAGCGGCGCTATGAACGAACAGAAATGGATACAGACGTTAACTCGATTTCAGGTATTTTTTTATTATCACTGGAGATCCTCAAGTGTGCATGTATTTTTGTAAATATTTTATAAGTAAATTACTTTGCCCTGTGTCGGAAAAGAACCTGGGTACGTTGAAAGTTTGTGTTTGTTTACAATCACCAAGTTCATTGTTTTCATTTGTTTATAAAATGGTTGGAGTTTATCTGATTTTCCTTAGTCCTGGGGTGTCTGTTTTTTTCAATCAATTCATTTTTTTTCTTTTCAATTTAATAGATTGCTATGAAATTTGCTTTTGTCAACTGTTTCGTCAACACTTCTGTTTTTTGTGCTTTATAATCAACATGACTAGAGCTTAGTTTAGTCGCAGTATCAGGAAAGTAAAGCTAATATTGCGTCCTCTCCAGGCTCAGTGTCGTGGTTATACGATGAGGAAAGGTCTGAGTTTGGTTCGGACTCAGTTTGAAGAGATAGTGCGAGAGATTGATGGAGGATTGGATCACCTGCAGTGGAGAGGAAACATCATTCCCAGACCTCACTTCACTGACACTGTGAGCCTCTCTGCCATTGCCCATATCTCATTATTTAAAAACATCATAAGCTGTTTATTTGTTACTCGTAGAAAGTATGCTTTAAAGTTCCATTATCACTTTTACATTTTTTTTTAGTTAATGTCTTGATGTTGCATAATGATAGAGATGTGTATAATGTAATCTACAGGAAAGCCTATTGCTGCAGTATGAACGTTCCAGGTTTCAATCCCATGACCTGGATGATTCAGAGAGGGAACGGAAGACAGAGAATGAGGGCAGTGAGAAATCTCTCCCACAGTCTGAAATCCAGGTACCGGAGAAAGACGAAGCTACTGAAACATCTGTGGATGGTATTGTGGACAAGAGAGGAGAGAATGTGGTCATACAAAACCTGATGGATGATTCTACTGCACTTTGCAGTATCATGAATTCAGATGTCAGCCTCAGCAGCTTATTGCAGACAGGTGCTTTGAAAAGAGATTTTGACACAAAAAGGATACAGAAGTTTTTAAAAACAGACGGGACTTGTTTGAGACACTTATGTGGTTTTGTTTTGTTTTGGCAGGACCAAATTTGCATTCAGTTTTTAAAGAGACAGCACATACTCCTGACTCTCTGAAGCAGCAGCGGAGCACTTTAGCCATGGAGTTGCTGTGGATCCAACAAGCCATCAGTAGCAGAAAGAAAGTGAGAAAACTTTAGAATTTTTAACGTTAATGTTTATATGTATGTATCTATGTCTCTCTGTGTGTTTTAGTCTATAAACATATTCTGCTCTGCTTCTTTTGTAGTATCTTACCCTCAAACAGAGAATGGATGTGCCACACTGATACTGGAGCAGTTCTGAAGCTGTATTATTATTATTATTATTATTATTATGTGTTAGTCTATCATTTACAGCACAGAATGTTTGAGAATTGTTGTAAATTATATTTATTTATAAGCTTGTGTAGTCCATACACAGGTTTGTGTTAAAGAAGATTTTTATTTTTGTACAAATGGCATTTCAGAAATAAATATATGCACATGCACATTCATTTTTCTGTATCACAAAAAACCATACTGTTCGATCCTGGATGGATCACAAAGACTCCCACAACTTAATCTTACAGTTCAGTCAATGTAGTAACATATCTACTTCATTACTGACATTATATTTGAACTGTATCACCGCATGAGAACGGACCTCTTGGTGTTGCCTGATTTCTTTCAAGGTTTTTTCCTCCATTTTCCAAATTCAATGTCTTTCTTGCCTTGCTAGAGCTGCATTTGGCTTGCACACCAGGGTACTAAATATTATATAGATTACTACGAACAATGTGTTATGTATAAGTAGTATTATGCTATGTCTTCCAATTAACCCCTTAGTTTAACTACAGTTTATGGGTGGGCGATATAATCAGTATTTTAACCCTATCTTTAATATGCACAATTCATAGTTTATTTATATCGTCGCATAATATGCTATATTATTGCCTAACGATATATTTAAAGATGGATTTGACCTAGTACATTTACTTTACATGTACACAAACAGTATACGCACATAAAGCGATAAACTATACAGCAAATTTCGGCTGTGTGATTGTTTATATCATCCATAAATGTAAACTATGTTATTGCACTGCTCTATATACGAAGTTGGATGTATACAGTAATCCAACTTTATCCACATGCATAGGCTGCAGTACATTCACGAAGCAATATGCAGTATATAGCAAATTCTAAGAGTTTGATTGTTCATATCGGCGTAGGCCTAAACTATGTTATCGCCCAGCTCGAATCCACCAAATCCGACTATAGATATTATAAACATGTCTGTTAGCCTGCTTTGCTTTCAGTTGTGAAGAGCTATACAAATAAAATTTATTAAACTTGACAACATACAATCCACAAAATGATATTATAATTGAATTGAACAAACTTGACCCGTTTAATCCCAAATTTTGCCCAGACATGAAAATATCTAAATGATGTGTCATTAGTAACCCTTTGAAATAATTATTTTTTGAAAAATCTTTGGAAAAGTGTGTGAAACATTCTGTTTTATGGTCAGTCCCAATTGTGACCGGTGGGATAATGTGTAGCCTATACTGAATTAACATTATTCTAAAGTCAAAAATGTCTTTATATATCTTAGCCCTGCTATTTTAAACTGTTTGATCACATTCTAGGGTTACTGTTATGCATAAAAAAAACCTTATAGGAATACTGAGATAAAAAAATACAAACATCAAACATATTTCAAAATTGTTGCTTTTTTGTAACATGTATAATCAAATTTTATATCAGTGCTACCAGTACTACAACATAAATATTGTAACTTTTTTTGTAACATTTGAACTTTTAATTTAGTGCAATATTTTGTCATTGCAACATTTTAGTGTAATTTTCACTAACAACTGCAATTGGATTTATATGTATACCTAAGTTCACTGTTATCCCACTATTGTGACCATCAAGATGTTTACTCATTCTATGACCACACTCAACAAAAATGAACATATGTGAATTCATATATTAATACTAGACACCTTAAAAGATAATGTGTACCAAAAATCTTTGTCATATCTTTATGTTAGCATACTTTATTAGCCGTTTGTTTTGGAGCTTTGATGCAGTCATCTTCAGGTGCAAACAGGAAATAAACTGCTCTGGTCATGTGACAATTTGCACTAACCATGTGAAACTGAACATATTAAATTGAAACCCTTTATTTTTTCCATATTTGCAGAAAGTGTACTAAAACATCAGTCAGTAAGGTTTTTAGAGCTTTATCAATTAAAACATTTTTTAAATTTAAATGTTGCTGTTGGCCGTTTTTGACTAAACAATGTCACAGAATTTCTGACTTGCTGTTTTATATTTATTGCAAATGATAAAGGCTGTTTTTCTTCTTTATCGCTCCACAGGTTCTTTGTGTCCCTGTGTTTAAATGTTTCTGTTGTCGGTGGGTGATGATAAGGGGCATAATTCACTAAAGACACTTCAAACAAACACCATATTTTCATTTTGAATGTCGAATTTTCAAAACCAATTTATTTAGCCTATTCAAGTAAAATAACGTGATTCATTTTCATTTCTTGAGAAATAGAGGTGATATTTTGATCAAGGATACATGCATAATGTGCAGTGTTGGGGTGCCTCCAGGACCAGGGTTGGGAACCACTGGTCTAGATTACATAATTAATCATTTGCCCTCTCTACTCTAACCCTCTTCCCCTCCCTCACCGTCTCTGTGGTGTTGTTGCTGATTGTAAAACCTCACAAAGGCCGCCGCCATAGTTAGTAACGCTGCCATGGCAACCAGGAAACACTCCCCAGTGTGTGTGTGTGTGTGAGAGAGAGAGAGAGAGAGAGAGAGAGAGAGAGAGAGAGAGAGAGAGAGAGGGAGGGAGTCTGGGTGAGGTGTTTGAGTCTCTCACACTCAGTGCTTTAATATATTAGACATATACACTGAAAAATAATCAGCACAAATAACAGACCAGATGAATTTAGAGTTTTTCTCCAGGTGATTAACTGGATTACATACGTTGTCTCTGTAAGTATTTTTGTGAGTGTGTGTGGATTTGTATACATGTGAATGCTTGAGCTGTAAGTGAATCAATTTGTGAGTTTTTGTGCATTTAATGTGTGAATGAGGATTGGATTTGTACTTTTACAGTGTTATTAACACATTTATGGTTAAATTTTGATGGCATAAGTAAGTTATACTATTTAGGAGTTGCTCTCATTTTGTGTTTTTTTTATATATATATTTTTTTACAGGTGTGTGTTAATGTGGCTAGTTTTGGATCATGGCATCCACTGGTGTCACTAGTCACCTGCCTCCAGTCAAGAGTGTAAAGGTCTACAGAAATGGAGACCCCTTCTTTTCAGGTTAGAACTGGTTCTGAAACAGTTTTGGTGGGTTGTTTTGTTGCACACACAAGGCTTAAAAATGTTACTGTATAGCCTAATTGTGTATACTGCAACATGTATTTTATTTCATCACTTTCACAGCTCTCTTGTATATGTCTGAAATGAAACTACACGTGTCTTATTTAATGTCTCTTTATGAATGTCTTTCTGGATCAGGAAGGAGATTTGTGGTAAACCAGAGGCAAATCTCCACCATGGATGCGTTTCTTAATGACATCACTCTCAGTATCGGAGCTCCGTTAGCAGTTCGAACTCTCTATACGCCGCGCTATGGTCATCGGGTCGCAGACCTTAGTGACCTACAGCAAGGGGCACAGTATGTGGCTGCAGGGTTTGAGCGCTTTAAGAAACTAGAGTAAGTGTCAATTCATTCATATTGAGAAAAATCTAAATTATAACACTTTCCATTAACGTTTAATGGTCTGATCTAGATGCTGAGACTCAGTGGTCCCAGTGTTTGGACACTTCAGCCACTCTTAACATTGTATGAGTCAGTGTTGTTATTGTTAACTTAAACTAAAAAAAAGAAATAAAATGTTTTCAGAAATCGAAATAAAATAAAATGTAAGTATAAGATTAAAAATGTAAACTTTAAAAAACTAAATGAAAATTAGAAATGGCAACTCACTGAAGCAAATATGATGAAATAAAGTTGTTGTAGTACTAAATTACTAAAAGCTATTTTTTACTAAAAATAAAAAAAAAAATCAAAAACTTGTAAAAGTTACTAAAACTAAAATTAAGTTGAAAACTACTCCAACTCTGAAAATATATAATAATAGCTAATATATTCATATGTCAAAATATTAATAAATATAACAGTAGATAAATAATCCTAAAATAACACTGAATCACGTGGCTTCTACAAAACAAATGGTACTACTCATTTTATGAAATTTTTGTATCCAATTGGTCTCAGAATTATTTTTGGTAGATGTATAAGGTCAGTTTCCCTTAGTATATATGTATTATTTATGTTTTATCCTTTAAAACCGTTAAAAAGGTATCTTGCTAAGTGTGCATTAAGTGTTTTTATAATTACATACATTAACATACAAGTTTATTTCATGTAAATGCCCTTAAATTATAATCCCATTTTATAGAAAATGGCCTTTTAGAGAGGTGTTAATGTAGGGAAAATTAAAGTAGAATTTATGATCTGGCATCATGAAATTAGATTCCAGATTTATTGTTTCTGGTTGAGAAGGGTTAATATTGTGATAATGGCTAAAAGATGCATCATATTTTTGCTTGTCTTTTCTGTATATGTTTAGTTATCTGTCTGCAGGACTGAAGAAAGGTCCACTGTGCAGAGTTGTGGAACCAGCCCAGGTATACATGTGAGAGTTCAGCGCTTCTTACTGTTTATTTGTGATTTTTTTATTTTTATTATTTAGGTTAATTGCAGATCTGTGCAATTAATCTGTAAGTCATGGTATTTTTTAAATTTAGGCATAAAAAATCATACAAGATCCAGTCAGTGTGTCTTGTTTGTTATGTTGTGTTTGTGTTTTTTTGTTGCTGTGGATGCTTGGCTGAAGTGTGTCATGAAGAGGAAGTGAGGGAGTGAGGGATGTTATTGTCCCTTCCAACAATAGAAGGCCAGGGGAGATACGCTGCTAGTGTTATCAGATTAGAAAGCTTGTTAGGGCAAGTTTAAGTGCCTGACCCCTTAATGCTGCACACAGAGCTGCTAAAACCACTGTTGATAATAGCCTTGAGAGCAGGGGACACTGACTCAGCGTCAACACACACTGCATCTTTGATTTACGCTGATGGAAAATCACTTAACCTGCTTATTACACAGCTCTTTGTTAAATAAATAAATGGACCTGAAATATTGATTTCCAGTTATTTTATTATGTGACAATAAAGAGGCCGCAAACGCAAAGTGATATGAGAGACATGAAGTTTGGAGGGAAATTAGTTTCCTCAGAAAACGGCCAATTATACAGTTTAACTCTCATTATACAAAAACATATGACCTTAGAAATGCTGTGATTGACTAATCAGATTCAAGTATTCTGATTGTAGTTGACATAATACATTGCTAATTAATAATATGTAACTCTTTTCACAGGTTAAAATGCTTGTCAGGCCTAATGTGTCTGCAAAATGGAGGAAGGCCATCACTCTGCCCTTCATCATACAGTGAGAACTCAGACATTTAAATGCACACTTTTCTTCTGTTAAACCAGTTTTTCTTTTCCTTTCACAAGAGATCCAAACTTCATTCTTCTTTTCACATTCAAATAGTGTATTTCGGAATGGAGACATCCTCAGTCCTGCCATGCGTCTGATCATTCCCCGCCACATGCAGAAAAATCTAGAGCAGATTCTGAGCCTCATTTCTGAAAAAGCCATGCTTCGCACAGGAGCCGTGCGCAGGTATTCAGTCACACATACAATTTGTTTTATAATGAACTTATGAAGCATGTCATATTTATTTCCTCACACATTGTTTAAGGTTGTTTTCATTTCCACAATCAATTCACCTTTCACCTCTCAGGCTTTGCACTCTGGAGGGTTTCACAGTGACCTCCACAGAGGAGCTGGAGAGCAGGCAAAGCTATGTAGCTGTGGGAACAGAGAGGTTCAAGAAGCTTCCATATGTAGAGATACTGCTGAATAAAGCAACAGGCAACAGCGCGGACAGGTGATGTTGGTGGATAATTGGGATAGACAGTAATGTTGGGATAGACCGTAAGTTATTCAAAATTTTGGGGTCTGAATTTATTTTAAAGAAATTAATACTTTTATTATTTCTTAACAGTTCTTTTGAACTCTCTATTCATCAAAGAACCCTAAAAAATGTATCACAGTTTCCACGAAGGTTTAAAGCAGCACGACTGATTTCAACATAGATAACAATAAGAAATGTTTCTTTAAAGACTTATAGAAATTATTTCTTTAGGATCAGGTGGCACTGAAGACTGAAATAATGGCTGCTGAAAATTCAGCTTGCCATCACAGGAATAAATTACATTTTAAAATATATTCAAATAGAAAAGAATTGTTTTGAATGGTAATAATATATTGGAATATTATTGTTTTACTCTATAGCAAATAAATCTAGCCTTGGCGAGCATAAAATACTTCTTTCAGAAACATTAAAAAGTCTTACAGACTCCAAACTTTTGAATGGTAGTGTACATATAAATAAAACAGGATCTGTCTGTCTTCACTGTAGACATTATGCAGGAGACAGAGGATTACAGAGAAGAATCGAGGTACTTTTTATATCCAATATACAGAGTTGAAATGCATCTGAGAAAATTATTAGCCTTTTAACTAAAAACATAACAAATCATAAAAATTAGCACATTTATTTGAGTAAAAAGGTGTACAAAAAAGGTTTTCTTAAAAAAATGTTTAATCCAAAACTTTATTTCTAAGGCTAAAGTAGATTTTTAATTTTAGACTTTTTAATGTGGTCTCAGACTCATGGACTCCACTGTATATTTAATTTTAATATGTTAGGAAAATACATTTCCATGAGACAAATTGTTCTATTGAAGTTCTTTAATGTCATGACGATCCAACTCAGAGTAGAAAGATGTTTCCTCAGGAAAGCCACAGTGACTCCACCCTGATGAATCCACCTGAGGTAAAAACCAAATACATTGTTATTTTCAATGTACATTGATATTTATATATACAGTGCCTTGCGAAAGTATTCATTCATTAATTTATTTTTTTACATTTTGTTATGTTGCTGCCTTATGATAAACTTCTTTAAATGTCTTTTTTCCACATCAATCTACACTCCATACACCATACTGACAAAGCAAAAACAGAATTGTCACAACTTTGTAAATTTCTTAAAAATAAAAAACTGAAATAAGTACATTGCATAAGTATTCTAACTAAGTATTCTTAACTAAATATTTAGCTGAAGTACCTTAACAGCCTCAAGTCTTTTTTTGTTTGATGCGACAAGCTTTGGTCATCAGCATTTTGCAATTATCTGCCATTCTTCACCTCACCTGTTCACCTCTCAAGCTCTGTCAGGTTGGATGGGGGCAGATGCACATTTTCAGGTTTCTCCAGAAATATTTGATTGGGTTCAATCCCAGGCTGTGGCAGGACATTCACATAGTTGTCTATAAGCCACTCTTGCTGTGTGCATAGGGTCAAAAAAACTGAAATAAGTACCTTGCATAAGTATTCATACCCTTAACTAAATATTTCGCTGAAGCACCTTTACAGTCTCAAGTCTTTTTTGTTCAATGCGAAAAGCTTTGATCATCATCATTTGTCAATTATCTGCCATTCTTCCCCTCACCTGTTCACCTCTCAAGCTCTGTCAGGTTGGATGGGGGCAGACACACATTGTCAGGTTTCTCCAGAAATATTTGATTGGGTTCAAGACCAGGCTCTGGCCGGGCCGCTCAAGAACTTTCACAGAGTTGTCTAAAAGCCACTCTTGCTGTGTGTTTAGGTTCATTGTTCTGTTGGAAGGTGAACCTTCTGCCCAGTCTGAGGTTCTGAATGCTCTGGACTGGGTTTTCATTAAGGCTATCACAATATTTTGCTGCACTGGGCGTTTCCTCTATTCAAGGCACTGTATATATATATATATATATATATATATATATATATATATATACTTGTTTATACTATATTTTTTGTTTTCCTGCTTCAGATCAAAGCCTTCAGATCATTGTCACAATCATCCTGTAAGCATCTTGTGTAAATGGTGTCTGCTTTCAGAGGGAAGGCAGGCGTGTGAAGTCCACAGGAGATGAGGTGGAGCGAGAGAGCTCCCCTCAGCCGGTTAAGAGGAGAGGAGAAAGAGAAGAGAACTCTGTTTTCTACGCCAGACCTGTGAGAGTCCGCAGACACCCTCCCACAAACAGACCCCCTCCTAGAGCCGCAATAGGTGAATGCTGAATAAATAAAAAATAGTATCTCATACTGTGTCTAAAATGTAACCTTTTATTTAACTGTGTGATATTGTTTGTGTTAGATGAGCCCAGTGTGTTTAAGGCCTCTGAGAGCAGGATGAGAGAGGAGGTTCGAGGTGCTGAGGAGGTCGCAGAGGATGAAAACACAGCTGTAGAGCGTCACATTGACCAGGTACACCTCTCATCTTCTTTTGTCTCATCTCATCTCATCTTCTATAAAAATGTTTATAATTTCAGAGAGAAGCAGAAGTTGTAGAGGATGAGGAGCTTCTTGAAAGAGATCCGTTTGATACAGCCAATATAAATCACGTGAGTGTGTGAAATACACAGGAATTGAAAGTAATGATGACTCGATCATGAATTAACTCCCTGTTTGTTGTATTAAAGAGGGATTCAGCTGAACTACACAGGCCATCATCTGATCTCTCCAGTGAGAATGGAGAGAAAGAGTTCATAGTGTCTGAGAGGGAGACATGGGACGACACGTCAGCTCCACAGAGAGAAGCACAGCAGGGATACACGTCCAGCAAAGAGTCTCAGCATGATATAAACAAACATGATGCTGTAAGACGCAGTGCATTGAGCATTGACCTTATTTTTTTTTTTGCATTTTTATGTCTTATTTGTGTTTCACTTAGGCTTTGAATCAGCTTAAAGTGTGTGTATATATATATATATATATATATATTGTAGAAGATATATACATTGTAGAAGATATATTATACTATCAAATCATACAGATTGTTTTTCAGGCCTGTCATCTATGTACAGTAAAAAGCCTTGATGAGTTGAGATTTTTTCTTTCTGTTTAAAATTAGGAGTCATCCACACAGCATTCCAGATCTTCTTCATCATCTTCATCACCCAAAGTCTCTGAACATTCCCCACGAAGTGAAGTAACACAGCAAGAACCTGTCAGTTTATAAGTTTTAAACAAAATATTTAATGCATTTAATCATACATGCAAATGATGCTGTAGTGTTTTGACATTTATTTTCCCTTATATAGTGTCATTTATATTAAAGGCCTGATATAATGGTACACTCTCAAAAAAAGGTACCAAACTGTCACTGTTGTGGTACCTTTTCAAAAGGTACTAATATGTACCATTTAGGGGAAAATAAGGTACATACAGTAGATCTATTTTGTACTGCCTCAGTGACAGAACTATTACAGATAGTGAAATTAGATGTGGGAGACTTACATATTTAGCTATTATTAAAATTATGTGTAAATATTAACCATCTAAACATAATGTGTTGCTCTGTCTGTGTGTGTATCAGACTGGGGGTTCCCATGAGGAACAGACAGACAAGGATGCTGAGCGACCTCTCCATCCTGAAGATGATGCAGGAGACAGAGACACACCTTTACAATCCACACACATTCTCTGAACATAGAGTTCACTATGAAATTGGTATCGTTTTGGTCAATGAATAGCATTTAAAATAATGTACCCTTGAAAAGTAACAGTGATCTTACAGCATGCAGAGATTCACTGAGAAGTGTTTTTATTTTTTTATTTCTTCTGTTTAACAAAATAAGACCTCTGAATGTAAAAGACATTTAAAATAAATGTATTTAAACATTGGGCACTTTCACATTATTAATACAAATCCATATAAATATCAGTTAATAATACAATATATACAAGTATTTTGTATGTTCCACAATCCACATACATTTAAAAGTTACTCTTTCCACAGTTGCATTTAAAGTGCAAAACATTTGGATTTCACCAACATGGTTCAAGTACAGGTATAAAGTCATCCATCACCTCTTAGCACAAGTTCACAGCACATACTGAAAATGAAGCAGCACAGATATTGTGTCAGATGAATATGTGTGTGTGAGGTGTGATCACATGGCTGGAGCAGATTCAGGTCCTCCTTCACCTCCCAGTCCAGTGGCACGTTTCAAAGATCACTTGTGTTGCGGGGCTCCTGCGCCGTCTGTCTCAGAGACAGAATTCAGCACGCACACAGTCACTCCAGACATGATGAGTAACATACCCAGCATAGCTCCTACATGAGCAGAGGCAGAGAGTAGTGCTGTCAAATGATTAATCGCATCCAAAATAAAAATTTTGTATACATAATATACAGTATGTATGTGCACTGTGTATATTTATTATGTATATATAAATACACACACAGTATATATTTTGAAAATATTTATATGTATATACATATTCTTTTATATTATATATAAATATGTTTAATATATAAACATAATTTTTTTCTTAAATATATACATGCATGTGTTTGTATTTATATATACATAATAAATATACACAGTAAACGTTATGTAAACAAAAACCCTTATTTTGGATTCGATTAATCGCGATTAATCGTTTGACAGCACTAACAGAGAGTTAAAGACCTGTGTAGCTACAGAGAGAGAATGTGATGTTACTAGCACAGAAGCTACTTACTCTTTTCTCCAAACTCTTCTCCAAGCAATTTACCCATTAGTAACGTGAACAGAAATGTGAGTTCACCATGGGAACAGCCAGAGACAGATCTACAAAACAAACAGCACTTCAAAATTCAACACTAGTGCTGGCTAATATGTGTGTGTGCTCACAAAGAGTTTAAACCTTCCTTAATATTTTGAATAAAAAAATGTTCATGGCTGCAGAGGTTATGCTTGAAACAGAATACCAACTTACTAACTGAACACTAAACAGCAAGCATATGCTGCCTACAGTTTAAATTAAAAAAGACATTTCACACTGTCGTGCTTAATTTGGCAATTGCCAACCAATCTTAGATCTTAGCAACTCTTCTTAGAAATAAAAATTGTTGTTGCATCAAGTCTTTGTGCAAAATGTTATCTTTTAGCAGCCTGATTCAAAAAAGTTTAGTGCATCACACAGTGGGCTAGTATTACAGTATTCTCTGTATTATACTGCTCATTTTTGCCAGTGTTATATGTCATTCAGATATTCCATACATACAGATAACTTGAATATTGTGCACTGTACAGTATACTACTGCATGAATCCAGCTTCAGCCTCATATATACTGTAAAAACTGTAGTATGATACTATGCTACTAAGAACATAGATAGTCAATACTTAGAAACTTGTGAAGAAAAAGAAACTTCTCACCTAGAAGCAAGAGTGACGTTGAACAAATGATCCACTTTGGTTTAACAGAAATGGGATCAAATAAAATATATTAATTATAATTACACCAGTGTTGGGCTAGTTACTCAAAGAATGTATTACTCATTACTAGTTACCCCTTTCAAAAGTAATATTGTTACTTTACTTATTACTTTCTGGCAACAGTAATTAGTTACACTACTAGTTACATTACTTTTTCTTCGCGCCCCACAGAAGTTGTAACTGTGTATCTTCCTCCACATAAAATTGTTCTAGAATGTTACTAACAACATATTTCTGCCTCATCATTTGACCAAAATCCACATTGGATCGCAGTCAGAAGTTATTACAAACACTCAATAGTGATTGATAGTGACATTCAAGTAGAAATGTTGTATTAATCTCATTAATTGTCATGTGTACCTTGAAGCTAATTGTTTCTCTGTTTCTCTATTTGTAATTTCTCTGTTACCCATATACAATTATATTTCATTATGTATTTTATCAAATCACATTAGTTTGTAAGAAACTATTTAATTTTCCAAAAAGATTTTTACTTATAGTAATATAATGTACCACATGCTGATCAGAGGGATGTGGGTGGGATGTAATGCCAGAGTACAGTAAAGCCACAACTTACACAACAGTGTTCAGATCATCTTTTTTCTTGACAAAATCAATATAATGCAATATTTCTATCTGCTGAATGTAAGCTTTTCCATATTCCAAGCTTGCCTGCTGCACTGGGGACATCACATGCATGTGCGAGTCGTGAAAATTATGAAAATAAATCAAGGAATTATTTGCTTGTTGGATTTTAAATCAGCGGGGTTGAGGCATCAAAAGTAACTAAGCTGTTTTATGGATGGTAACGGTAATATTATTACTGAAATCTTATTAGTAATTAGTTACACTACTAGTTACTGCAAAAAGTAATATTATTACAGTAACTAAGTTACTAGTAACTAGTTACTGCCCAACACTGAATTACACACACTAAATTTATCATAAGCACTTATTATGTGCGCATAAAACAATGATAAAAACACACCTTGATATTGAGAAACACAAGAATTTGACCTCAACCAGAAACTGGAGGAGTTTGTTGTCCTTCTGAACCCCTTCAATGCCCTCTGTGCCTTTTTTCATGAGTGGGTTTGTGCCTGTGCCTTCCCACAAGATCGCGACCAACAACAGACAAAACACTTCACCTACAGAGAACATTATTATGACAGAAATGTATATTACATACATTTAAAACAATAATAAATTACATTTTTTAAAGCACAATATGGAGTGTCTACACTCTAAAAAATGCTGGGTTAAATACAACCCGGTGCTGGGTAAAATAGGGACAAACCCAGCAATTGGGCTGTTTTGACCCAGCGGTTGGGTTACTACCCAGAAGGTTGGGTTAAACATTTAACCCAACCGCTGGGTCAAAACAGCCCAATTGCTGGGTTTGTCCCTATTTTACCCAGGACTGGGTTGTATTTAACCCAGCATTTTTTTAGAGTGTACAGATCACCTAATTATTGTAATTATTATTTTCTGTTTACTTGATACACAGTTCAGAAAAAGCATTCTAATGTATCTAATTTAACGTTACTAGTACTTATTTTTTAGATACTAGTATCTTTTCCATTAAGTACTACTTATTCTTTAGGTACTAGTGCTTATTCTTTAGTACTAGTGTCTTTTGTAAAGTTAGTACTTAATCATTAGATACTAGTACGTTTTCATTAGATACTAGTGCTTATTTATTAGGTACTAGTACTTATTAATTAGATACTAGTACTTATTCATTAGATACTAGTACTTATTTCAATAGTGACTAACTATTATATTGTTACTAGTAACAAATTAAACATTTTTGCCATTGACTTATATGGGGATCCGTCATTGAGATATCAACTATTCAGTTTTGACTAGTATGTATTCCACTAGTGACTAGAACTTAATTTTTATGTACTTGTAGTTATTAATTTGGTACTAATACATATTTTTTAGATACTAGTACTCATTCATTAGATACTAGTACCTATTAAATAGACACTAGTACTTATTCATTAGATACTACTTATTATTAGATACTAGTACTTATCTATTAGATACTAGTACTTATTAGATACTAGTACTTATTCATTAGGTACTAGTGCTTATTTATTAGATACCAGTACTCATTCATTAGATACTAGTACCTATTAAATAGATACTAGTACTTATTCAATAGATACTAGTACACATTTATTAGATACTAGTACTTGCTCGAAATGCTACTAGTAAGATTTTTTTTTAATTTTACTAGTAAATTTTTAAATTGAACTCTACTGTAGCCATTTGGACTAGTCATAACATAAGACGAGTAAAAAAGCAGATCTGACTAGTAAGATAAGAATTGTTACTAGTAGTAATTACAAAAGATACTAATGTCTAATAAATAACTAGTACCTAATGAATAACTACTAGTATCTATTAAATAGGTACTAGTATCTAATGAATACGTACCAGTATCTAAAAAATAAGTACTAGTAGTATCTAATGAATGCTTACTAGCAATATTTAAATAGATACTAGTCACTATTGCAATAATTACTAGTCAGAAATGAAAAGATGATATCATAAACAGAATAACTACCACTCCCTGTTCATTTGGAGATATCTTAAACCTCATTAAGAACTAGTGATAATATATTTAGAGATACCTTCATTTAAACAGATCATTACATAAACACGAGTACCTCTTCACCGTCCAATCAGAGTCCACATGGTAATACAAT